AGTGAGACTCCATCTCAAAAAAAAAAAAAAATTAGCTGGGCATGGTGGCGGGCGCCTGTAGTCCCAGCTACTCAGGAGGCTGAGAGAGGAGAATGGCATGAACCTGAAATTAGCTGGGCGTGGTGGCGGGCGCCTGTAGTCCCAGCTACTCAGGAGGCTGAGGCAGGAGAATGGCATGAACCTGGGAGGCAGAGCTTGCAGTGAGCTGAGATTGCGCCACTGCATTCCAGCCTGGGGGAGAGAGCAAGACTCCATCTCAAATAAACAAACCAACAAAAAATAAAAATACTTTGGGTGGCCAGGCGCAGTGGCTCACGGCTCTAATCCCAGCACTTTGGGAGGCTGTGGTGGGCAGATCACTTAAGGTCAGGAGTTTGAAACCAGCCTGGCCAACATGGTGAAACCCCATCTCTACTAAATATACAAAAATCATCTGGGGGTGGTGGCAGGTGCGCCTGTAATCCCAGCTACTCGGGAGGCTGACACAGAATTGCTTGAACCCAGGAGGCAGAGGTCGCAGTGAGCTGAGACTGCGCCACTGCACTCCAGCCTAGGTGACAAAGCAAGACTCTGTCTTAAAAAAACAAAAACCGGCCGGGCGCGGTGGCTCAAGCCTGTAATCCCAGCACTTTGGGAGGCCGAGACGGGCGGATCACGAGGTCAGGAGATCGAGACCATCCTGGCTAACACAGTGAAACCCCGTCTCTACTAAAAACACAAAAAACTAGCCGGGCGAGGTGGCGGGCGCCTGTAGTCCCCGCTACTCGGGAGGCTGAGGCAGGAGAATGGCGTAAACCCGGGAGGCGGAGCTTGCAGTGAGCTGAGATCCGGCCACTGCACTCCAGCCCGGGCGACAGAGCAAGACTCCGTCTCAAAAAAAAAAAAAAAAAAAAAAAAAAAAACAAAAACCACCTGGGCCTCCCAAAGTGCTGGGATTACAGGTGGGAGCCAGGGCCCCCGGTCCCTAGGCTAGTATTTCAAAAATCCATTTTTTCATTTTCCTCAGAGGACTGAAGGGGAACGTGCCAGGAGGACTCTAAGGGGGAACATGCCACACAGAGAGGAAGGAATTGGGGTTCTTATCTCTCCTCATGCCTTTATCTCCCTGAGTCGTCTGCCTCTTATCTCTCCTCCTTCCTTTCTAGGTTCTGTCTCTTGACCTCCTTTACCTCTCTCACCCATTTTCAGTCTGGTTTTCATAAAACAGAAAACAGTTTGTGACTTGCATCAGCGTGGGTGGCCAGGGCTGTGGACCCCTTGGCTGTTTGAGCCTTGGGTTTTTTTTTTTTGTTTTTTTTTGTTTTTTTTTTTTTGAGACGGAGTCTCACTCTGTCACCCAGGCTGGAGTGCGGTGGTACGATCTCGGCTCACTGCCAACTCCGCCTCCCAGGTTCATGCCGTTCTCCTGCCTCAGCCTCCCAAGTAGCTGGGACTACAGGCACCCACCACCGCGCCCGGCTAACTTTTTTATTTTTAGTAGAGACAGGGTTTCACCGTGGTCTCGGTCTCCTGACCTTGTAATCCGCCCACCTCAGCCTCCCAAAGTGCTGAGATTATAGGCGTGAGCCACCGCGCCTGGCCTTGGTTTGGTTTTTGAGACGGAGCTTCACTCTGTCGCCCAGGCTGGAGTGCAGCGGTGCAATCTCAGCTTACTGCAACCTCAGCCCTCCCGGGTTCAAGTGATTCTCTTGCCTCAGTTTCCTGAGTAACTGGGATTACAGGCACAGCCACCAGGCCCAGCTAATTTTGTATTTTTAGTAGAGATGGGTTTTCACCATGTTGGGCAGGCTGGTCTCAAACTCCTGGTCTCAAGTGATCTGCCCACCTCGGCCTCCTAAAATGTTGGGATTACAGGCTTGAGCCACCGCACCTGGCCTAATTTTTAAAATTTTTTTGTAGAGATAGGGTCTCAGCACATTGCCCAGGCTGGTCTTGGACTCTTGGGATCAAGTAATCCTCTCAACTCGGCCTACCAAAGTTCTGGGATTACAGGCATGAGCCACTGTGCCAGGCCAGTTATGTAACTCTTGTACCTGTTCTAGATCAGGGGAGACCCAGGCTCCAAGAGGTTAAAAGACTTGTCCCAGGCTGGGTGCAGTGGCTCAGGCTAATCCCAGCACTTGGGGAGGCCGAGGCAGGAGGATCACCTGAGGTCAGGAGTTTGAGACCAGCCTGGCCAACATGGTGAAACCCTGTCTCTATTAAAAATACAAAAATTAGCCAGGTGTGGTGGCGGGCGCCTGTAATCCTAGCTACTTGGAAGGCTGAGGAAGGAGAATCTCTTGAACCCAGGAAGCAGAGGTTGCAGTGAGCTGAGATCATGCCACTGTACTCCAGCCTGGGCGATAGAGTGAGACCCTGTCTCAAAAAAAAAAAAAACAGACTTGAGAATCAGTGGAACCAAGTATGGATCTAATGATTCCCCTTGCAGACTGCAAGGGCCTTTTGTTTTGTTTTGTTTTGTTTTGGAGTTGGGGTCTTGCTGTTGCCCAGGTTGGAGTGCAGTGGTACAATCATACCTCACTCTGACTGCAAGGTCTAAAGATACTGCTGTAGGCCGGGCACGGTGGCTCATGACTGTAATCCCAACACTTGGGAGGCCGAGGCAGGTGGGTCACTTGAGGTCAGGAGATTGAGACCAGCCTGGCCAATATGGTGAAACCCCCATCTCTACTAAAAATACAAAAATTAGCCAGGCGTGGTGGTGGGTGCCCGTAGTTCCAGCTGCTGGGGAGGCTGAGGTGGGAGAATCGCTTGAACTCGGGAGGTGGAGGCTGCAATGAGCTGAGATCGCATCACAGCACTCCAACCTGGGTGACAGAGGGAGACTCCATCTCAAAAAGAAAAAGAAAAAGAGAAAGAGAAAGAGAGAGGGAGAGAAAGAAAAGAAAGGGAAGGAAGGACGGAAGGAAGGAAAAGAAAGAAAGAGAGAGAACAAAAAGAAAAGAAAAGAAAACTGCTGGAGACCTGCCCGATGCAGAGGCTCATGTTTGTAATCCCAGAGCTTCTGGAGGCCAGGGTGGGAGGCTTGCTTGAGACCAGGAGTTTGAGGTCAGCCTAAGCATCATAGTGAGACTCCGTCTCTCCAAAATTAAAAATACAAAAATTAGCCACATGTGGTGACGCATGCCTGTAGTCCCAGCTACCCAGGAGGCTGAAACAGGAGGAGGATTACTTGAGCCCTGAAGATCGAGGCTGCAGTGAGCCATGATTGCACCAATGCACTGCAGCCTGGACCACAGAGCAAGACCGTTTCATTTTTTCTTTTCTTTTCTTTTCTTTTTTTTTTCCTGAGACGGCATTTCGCTCTTGTTGTCCAGGTTGGAGTGCAATGGCGTGGTCCTGGCTCACTGCAACATCCGCCTCCCGGGTCAAGCAATTCTCCTGCCTCAGCCTCCAAAGTAGCTGGGATCTCAGGCATCTGCTACCATGCCCGGCTAATTTTTGTATTTTTATTTTTATTTTATTTATGTTTTTGAGAAGGAGTCTTGCTCAGTCGCCCAGGCTGGAGTGCGGTGGCTCCATCTTGGCTCACTGCAAGCTCCGCTTCCCGGGTTCACGCCATTCTCCTGCCTCAGCCTCCGGAGTAGCTGGGACTACAGGTGCCCGCCACTACACTCAGCTAATTTTTTTTGTATTTTTAGTAGAGATGGGGTTTCACCGTGTTAACCAGGATGGTCTCAATCTCCTGACTCGTGATCCGCCCGTCTCGGCCTCCCAAAGTGCTGGGATTACAGGCGTGAGTCACGGCGCCCGGCAATTTTTGTATTTTTGATACAGACGTGTTTCACCATTTTGGCCAGTCTGGTCTCAAACTCCTGACCTCAGGTGATCTGCCCGTCTCGGCCTCCCAAAGTGCTGGGATTACAGGTGTGAGTCACCGCGCCTGTCTCAAGACCTTGTTTCTTTTTTAATTTTTAAATTTTTTTATTTTGAGACCGAGTCTCACTGTGTCGCCCAGGCTGGAGTGCTCAGCTCACTGCAAGCTCCGCCTCCCGGGTTCACGCCATTCTCCTGCCTCAGTCTCCCGAGTAGCTGGGACTACAGGCGCCCGCCACCGCGCCCGGCTAGTTTTTTGTATTTTTAGTAGAGACGGGGTTTCACCGTGTTAGCCAGGATGGTCTCGATCTCCTGACCTTGTGATCCGCCCGTCTCGGCCTCCCAAAGTGCTGGGATTACAGGCGTGAGCCACGGCGCCCGGCCTCAAAACCCTGTTTCTAAAATAAATAAAAAGAAGAAAGAAGAGAAAATGCCGCTGGAAGGAGTAGGGTCTGAGGTAGTGGGAACCGCCCGCACTCCTTGGAGGAACTTGAAACCCTCAGTCCGGTGACTCGTTCGAGGGAGGACGTTGGTTGGAGGGGGAAGGGTCGCGCGCACAGGCCTCGGAGTCACAGGCGCCTGACTCACTGCGCGCCCCGGGCAACTCCGTTCCTCGCCTGTAAAATGGGAGTAAAATTTGCCCCACCACGTGGGGCTTTTGGCAGGCAACGCTCGTTAAAGGCCAGCTGGTACTATTATGTTGATTACCCCCATTATTACCGTTAGTAACCAATTAGTGTTGTTGGGTCCTCTCCCGATCCAGTCTCTCTAGGTCGGGAAGTCAGCGGACCCCGAGGCCAGCTCGGGCTCAGACCTCCCCACGACCCCAACCCCAGAGCCCATCCCACCCGCTCCACCCCAGCCCTCAGTGGGCCGTCCAGCTCCGGGTGGACTGGGGTGGCGCGGGCCTGGAGGCGGGGTCTGGGTGGGAGCCGGCAGTGCCCCCTGGTACATTTCCCTCCCCAGTCTATGGGGGTGCCGGCCACTGACGCGGAGCGGTCGGGGGTCGTCCTCATACCCGGCGGGCGCTAGGACCGCACGGGCGCCCGGCGTAGAGGCGGAACCAGCCCTGGGGCCACGCCCCTCTCCGCTCTCCTTGGCGATTGGCTGCGGTTACCCGGGACGTGGCTCCGATTGGCTCAGGCGCCGGAACCGCCCCGCCCCTCCCCGCCCGGCGCAGTCTCCGGGCTCTGGGGCCCGGCAGCCGCAGAGTCGAGCCTGGGGCGGACGCCGCAGAAGCGGGTGCGGGCGCGGCCGGAGGAGAGCGGGGCGCGGAGTGTGGTGTGCCCGGCGCGTGTTGGGAGTCCCCGGCGCCTCTCCCGACGGCACCCCCGAAGGCCTGGCCCCGGTACCCTCCGCAGAGCCCGGGGGTGGGGGGCGCGTGCCCGGCGCCGCAATGGGCCCGGGACCCCCAGCGGCCGGAGCGGCGCCGTCCCGGCGGCCGCTGTCCCTGGTGGCGCGGTTGAGCTACGCCGTGGGCCACTTCCTCAACGACCTGTGCGCGTCCATGTGGTTCACCTACCTGCTGCTCTACCTGCACTCGGTGCGCGCCTACAGCTCCCGCGGCGCGGGGCTGCTCCTGCTGCTGGGCCAGGTGGCCGACGGGCTGTGCACACCCCTCGTGGGCTACGAGGCCGACCGCGCCGCCGGATGCTGCCCTCGCTACGGCCCGCGCAAGGCCTGGCACCTGGTCGGTAAGCGTCCCGGCCCCGCCACCTGTCAGGCAGTCCCTCCGAGACTCCGCGACCCGGCAGCCTCCTCCCTCTGACCCGCCACCCCGTCTGCCTGCCCGGGATCGGAGTCTCCCCTCGGTCTGTCTGTCCGGTGGCCCGAGCCTCCCTGCACGGTCTGTCCACGGCCTTAACCTCCCCTATCTGTCTGCCCTATGGGCTGAGTCTTCACCCCTCTGTCTGTCCCATGGTCAGAACCTTCCCTACCTGTCTGTCTGTGCCCGTGGCCTGAGCCTCCTCCATCAGTCCCGCCACCCAGTCCCCTCTGTCTGCCTGCCTGGGGCCTAGGTCTTCCCTGTGTGTCTGCCCCATGAGCTGAGTCTTCACTCCTCTGGCTGTTCTGTGGCCTGAGCCTCCCGCCTCTGTCTGACCACCCAGTGGTCCCTCTGTGGTGTCACTCCTGGACCTCCCGTGCCTGTCCCACCAGCCAGCCTCCCCCGTCTGTCTATCTGCCCCCTGGCCTGAGCCGCCCCCATCTCTCTGACTGTGCAGGGCCTCCCCCATCTGTCCAACCGTGCAGGGCCTCCCTATCTGCCTGAGCCGTGAGCCTCCCCTGTCTGCTTAACTGCCCCGTATCCCTTTTGTCTGTCCCTTGGCCCAGCTTTCCTTGTCTGTCTGCCTCAGAGCTGCCGTCGGACCTGCAGGGCCTTCACCATCTGACTACATGACTTCCTAGTGTCAATGCCTTTGTCTTTCTGACCCCCCGGGCCGCCCTGAACCCTTTGGAGGGTTGGTGGTGCCTCCTTTCAGTCTGTCTAGCCTGAGCTCATCTATTAGGGTGACCAACCGGGACAGCTATGGCTGAGGGACAGTCAGGCTGCCTAGAGCCTCCTCTCTCTGTCTGTCTGTTCGGCCAGGGCAACCTGGTGCGTGGGCAGTTGGAGGGTGCTGCCCCGGGAGTTGAGAGTTGAGAGCCGCCTGGGTGGGACTGGAGGGTCAGGGGTCTCTGCCCTGTTCTTGCATTGCCTCTATCTGCCCGGCCAGGGTCAGGGATGCCCCTAGGTCTGGGGGAGGTGCCCTGATTAGAGAGGGCTGTCGGGAGGGCAGCAGGCCGGCGTCATGGGCTGGGTCACCCTGCCCCGGTGCCCATCGATAAGACGGCAGGACTGCCTCCCAGCGGCCCTCCTCTCCCCGCCTGGACCCTGGGCCTGAAGATTAGCCGGCCTCCTTCCCTGCTCTTCTTGCCCTCATGGAAGTGCCGGCTGCGTCCTGGCGTTTGGGACACACAGGGCATTTCAGGAGGCAGGGCCAGGAATCCTGCGCAGTTCTTGGAATTCCAGGTTGCAGGAGGGGCAGGCTGGTGCCTCCTCACCCTTGGGAACAATGACTGAGGTGGGTGGTTGGACCCAGGCTCTGGGTGTTGACATTTTTGGCAAGAGGCAGTGGATCTCCAGTGGTCTGAGGGCGCAGGCCCGGCAGGAGGCACAACTTGGGGACTGGATTTTCATGTTTCCTATGTCTGGGCTATTCCCGGGTCACCTGAGGTGGCGGCAGACAGGGAGGGGACCGGCTGTCCCTTCCCCTGAGTGGTGCCCAGGGCTCCAAATTCCTCTTTGATCATAATAGTTGGATAAGCTCTTTGACAGATGCACAAGATAATTTCTGGGCGGGGCGGGCGCGGTGGCTCACTCTTGGCACCCCAGCACTTTGGGAGGCCTCCTCACCTGAGGTCAGGAGTTTGAGACCAACCTGGCCAACATGGCAAAACCCTGTCTCTACCAAAATACAAAAAGTAGCTGGGTGAGGTGGCACGTGCCTATAATCCCAGCTACTTAGGAGGCTGAAGCGGGAGAATCATTTGAACCTGGGAGGCAGAGGCTGTAGTCAGCGGAGATCGTGCCACTGCACTCCAGACGCAGCGAGAGTCTGTCTAAAACAAAACAAACAACAACAACAAACCAAAACAAGAAAACAAACAGAAAAAGTAACTGAAGGCTTTATGTTTTTCCAAAGCAGGCTTTTGGGAACGGGTGTTCCAATCGGACACCAAGGCCTCCAACGTCACCCCTCTTCCCTGCCTTGGGGAGGGGGCATCTGCCCCGGGAGCTGAGAGTCGGTGGCCACCTGGGTGGGCCTGGAGGGTCTGTTGGGAGCAGAAGCCCAGGCAGCCGCTCTTGATGCCTGAGCAGGTGACTTGAGTGAAGGTCACCCTAGCAATGGCACCCACTTCTGTATTTCACACCCAAGTCTGGGGCTGGTGGCTAAGGACTCGCTTTGCCCCTTAACAAGTCCTGGGGGGCTCCCCCGCAATCCTGAGAGGACCCTCAGACTCAGACACAAACACTCCTGTGGGTGGGCAGGTGGTACAAATGGGCTTCAGAAGGAAGGACATTAGCTTTGAGGTATTGAAGGATGGGTAGGAGCGTGTGGAGAGGTGCATTCCAAGTAGCAGAAGCAGCTGTGGAAAAGGTAGGAACAGTCCTCACTTTGAAGCTGCGGAAGCAGGAAGTGGTTCAGAGTAGACGGAGCTTTTGCTGGTGCCACACGTGAACTCTATCCCCACAGCAGCCTGTGGGGCAGGAACTTACTTTCTTTTTGTTTTTTGTTGTTGTTGAGACAGAGTCTCACTCCGTCGCTCAGGCTGGAGTGCAGTAGCGGGATCTCGGCTCACTGCAAGCTCCGCCTCCCGGATTCAAATGATTATTGTGCCTCAGCCTCCCGAGTAGCTGGGATTATACGCACGTGCCACCAAAGCCGCCTAATTTTTTTAGTTTTAGTAGAGACAAGGTTTCACCATATTGTCCAGGCTGGGCTTGAACTCCTAACCTCAAGTGATCTGCCTGTCTCAGCCTCCCAGAGTGCTGGGATTACAGGTGTGAGCCACCACGTCCCCATGGGCAGGAACTTTCACTACCCTTTGTCTTTTTTTTTTTTTTTTTTTGAGATGGAGTCTTGATTTGTCGCCCAGGCTGGAAGGCAGTGGCGTGATCTCAGCTCACTGTAACCTCTGCCTCCTGGGTTTAAGCGATTCTCCTGCCTCAGCCTCCCGAGTAGCTGGGACTACAGGCGCGTGCCACCACGCCCGGCTAATTTTTGTATATTTAGTAGAGGCAGGGTTTTACCATGTTGGTCAGGGTGGTCTCAAACTCCTGACCTCAGGTGATCTATCCGCCACGGCCTCCCAAATGTGCTGGGATTATAGGCATGAGCCACCGCACCCAGTCTGTTCTTTTCCTTTCTCTTTTTGTTTCATTTCTTTTAGTTGGTTTTTTTGTCTTTTTTTTTTTCCTTGACAAGGTCTCGCTCGTCGCCCAGACTGGAGTGCAGTGGCACGATCATGACTCACTGTAGCCTCAACCTCCTAGGTTCAAGCGATCCTCCCACCTCAGCCTCACAAAGTGCTGGGATTACAGGGATGGGCCACCACTCCTGGCCACGATCCCTGCTTTCTGAAAACTGAGGCCTAGAGAGGCACAGTCACTTGCCCAAGCTCCCCCTGCCAGGCAGCCTGGCCCCAGCAATGGTTAACCCAGACTGGCCCGCAGGAACAGGGAGTCCGGCCAGGAAGAGACCTTCTCACCAGAGTCCACAGTTCGTGCTCTGCCCCCGGATGACCCCGCCAGGACCCCAGGAATCCGCGCAAACCCTCCCAGACCCTAGTTCCAGGGAAGCCAGCAGGAGAGGCCGCCTTTGGTTTCACTTCCCCATTCCAGTTCTCTGGGGGCTGGCCCAGCGTCTGGGGATGAGGTCATCTCTGGAGCCTGGAGGGAGGAAGGAGGTCCCGCCTCTAGGCTTGGTGGTATGGGCCCTTCCAGGTGCCCCAGGCTGGGAGGAGAGGAGTGTGGGGCCGTGGGGAAGGAGCCTGGCTCCGGCTCACTCTAGGGGCCTCAGTTTTCCCATCTGGAAAATGAGGATAATGACACCCACGTCTCTAGGCTGTGTCAGAGCCACTATTGTTTTTCACTGCTCAGAAGATAGTGAAGGAACAGCCTGTACGGTGCCTCACGCCTGTCATCCCAGCACTTTGGGAGGCTGAGGCAGGTGGATCACTTGAGGCCAGGAGTTCCAGTTCAGCCTGGCCAACGTGGTGAAACCCCATCCCTATCAAAAGTACAAACATCGACCGGATATGGTGGCGGGCGCCTGTAATCCCAGCTACATGGGAGGCTGAGGTGGGAGAATGACTTGAACCCGGGAGGCGGAGGCTGCAGTGAGCTGAGATCTGTACTCCAGCCTGGGCCACAGAGTGAGACTCTGTCTCAAAAAAAAAAAAAAAAGGCCGAGTGCAGTGGCTCACTCCTATAATCCCTGCACTTTGGGAGGCTGCGGTGGGTGGATCATCTGAGGTCAGGTGTTGGAGACCAGCCTGGCCAACATGGCGAAACCCTGTCTCTACTAAAAATACAAAAATTAGCTGGGCGTGGTGGCAGGTGCCTGTAGTCCCAGCTACTCGGGAGGCTGAGGCATGAGAATCACTTGAACCCGGAGGCAAAGGTTACAGTGAGCCAAGATCTCGCCAGTGCACTCCAGCCTGGGCGACAGAGCAAGACTCTCTCTCTAAAAAAATGGAGATATTGAAGTGCCCGAGTTCCATGCTGGGTCTCCCCAGGCCCCTCAGAAGCTGCTGTCTGCAGAGGAAAGCCGGCAGGAAGCTGGCAGACAGACAGACAGAGAATTCCCTGGTGCGCTGAAGGGTGAAGTAGGAGCCGCAAGGGCCAGGAGAGACGTGTTTGAGGAGGTGACATTCCCGTTGAGCCCAGAGGTGAAAAGGAGCCGGTCTTAATAAGATGTGAGAGAAAGAGAGCTCCAGGCAGAGGCACGTCCATGCAAAGGCCCTGGGGCAGGACCGCCCGGGGTATTGGAGGAACAGTGAGGAGACGTGCATGGCTGGAGCAGAGAGAGAAGAGGGAGAGAGGGCAGGGCAGGACAGGGCACAGAGGGAATAGGGCAGGTTGCAAAGAGCCCTGTGGGCTGCAGGGAGGATCTTACATTTGTTCCAAGGTATCTTAGGGGTTTTTTCTGAGGATGTGAAGAACCAGGGCTTGGCACAGCAGAGCCAAGCACCTTGGTTGGGGGCAGGTGCTATTTCCAGAATGTCCCTGGAGGCCTGGACACCACAGTGCTACAGGGAGTGGTCACCTTAGGAGCTGACAGGGACCGCGGAGCTCAAGGAGGGCAGGGTCCAGCCCAGCCCTACCTGGGCCTCCCGCTCCCCGAGGCCCCATGGGAGGCTTGTCAGTGGCCAAGGGGGAGGAGCCAGGGGAGGCTGTGGCTGTAACCGGGGGCACCTGTGGGGGCAGGTTTCCAGGGGACCCCCTGCGCCCAGGTTCTTCTGACTTACAGGCTGAGCCCAGGTACCTGGTGTCAGATTCCCCTTTTGTCACCGGGGCCATAGGCCTGGGGCACCCTGGCTGCAGACCCTCACTCCTGTATGACTGTGTGCATGGAGGGGGCATCTCCGTCTGTGCCTCAGTTTCCCTCTCTCCTCCCTCCCTGTCCCCACCCCGGGAGCCCTGGCTGGTGCGGGACAGCCCCATGACTGACCACCCCACCCGTCCACAGGCACCGTCTGCGTCCTGCTGTCCTTCCCCTTCATCTTCAGCCCCTGCCTGGGCTGCGGGGCGGCCACGCCCGAGTGGGCTGCCCTCCTCTACTATGGCCCGTTCATCGTGATCTTCCAGTTCGGCTGGGCCTCCACACAGATCTCCCACCTCAGCCTCATCCCGGAGCTCGTCACCAATGACCATGAGAAGGTGGAGCTCACAGCACTCAGGTGGGAGCCTGGGCACCCTCCCCCGTGGGCAGGGTGGGCCCTAGCTCGGCGTATCAGTCAGTGGGGCCACGTAACGAGCGGCCAGAGACTCGGCAGCTAGAGACCAGGCAGTCTTTTATGTTTATTTTTTATTTATTTTTATTTTTTTGAGACGGAGTCTCGCTCTGTCGCCCAGGCTGGAGTGCAGTGGCCGGATCTCAGCTCACTGCAAGCTCCGCCTCCCAGGTTTACGCCATTCTCCTGCCTCACCCTCCCGAGTAGCTGGGACTACAGGCGCCCGCCACCTCACCCGGCTAATTTTTTGTATTTTTTAGTAGAGATGGGGTTTCACCGGGTTAGCCAGGATGGTCTCGCTCTCCTGACCTCATGATCCGCTTGTCTCGGCCTCCCAAAGTGCTGGGATTACAGGCTTGAGCCACCGCGCCCGGCCTTATGTTTATTTTTTGGAGAGGGGGGTCTCACTCTGTTGCCCAGGCTGGAGTGTAGTGGTGTGATCTCGACTCACTGCAGCCTCAACCTCCTGGACTCAAGTGATCCTCCTGCCTCAGCCTCCTGAATAGCTGGGACTACAGGAGTGTGCCACCACACCCAGCTGTTTTTTAAAGGTTTTGTAGAGATGGGGTCTCACTATATTGTCCAGGCTGGTCTTGAACTCTTGGGCTCAAGCAATCCTCCTGCCTCGGCCTCCCAAAGTGCTGGGATTACAGGCGTGAGCCACCACACTTGGCCATCACACATTTCTCCTGTCACAGTTTTTGGGGGTCAGGAGTCTCCATGGCTGAGCTGGGGGGAGAGGAGTGTAGTGCTTCAGGGTCTGTCTTGGGCCTGCATTCAAGGGGTTGCCCAGGGTTAGGGTCTTAAGGAAGGCTGGGGGCGGTCCCTCCTCTGTGCTCACGTGGTTGGTGGCGGAATTTGCCGTCTTGCACCTGTGCAGATCATGGTGGCCGGCTGCTGCTTCTGAGGCCAGCAGGGGGAGTCTCTGATCCCAAGAAGTCCTAAGTTCTCTCTCCCAAAGGATGGCCTGATTTGGCCAGGCCCACCCACAGTAGTCTCCCTTGAGAGAATCTCGCTCTGTCAGCCAGGCTGGCGTGCAGTGGTACGATCTCAGCTAATTTTTTTTTATTTTTTATTTTTAATAGACAGAGTTTCCCCATGTACCATGTTGGCCAGGCTGGTCTCAAACTCCTGACCTCAGGTGATCTGCCTACCTTGGCCTCCCAAAGTGCTGGGATTACAGGTGTGAGTCACTGTGCCCAGCCGGTTTTTTTTTTTTTTTTTTGAGACAGGAGTCTCACTCTGTCACCCAGGCTGGGGTGCAGTGGCGCCATCTCGGCTCACTGCAATCTCCGCCTCCCGGGTTCGAGTGATTCTCCTGCCTCAGCCTCCCAAATAGCTGGGACTACAGGTGCGCGCCACCACACCCGGCTAATTTTTGTATTTTTAGTAGAGATGGGATTTCACCATGTTGGCCAGGCTGGTCTCGAACTCCTGACCTCAGTGATCTGCCCTCCTCAGCCTCCCAAAGTGCTAGGATGACAGGCGTGAGCCACCGCGTTTGACCAATAATCTCCCTGTGGATATGTCTGAGCTGACCAAGGTCTTTGGTTAGAACATGTCCACAAAGTCCCTTTCCCTCTGCCATAGAACGCCACTTAGCCCCGGCTACATCCTGGGAGTAACGTCCATGGCAGACTTATAGGTCCTGCTGGCACGGGGAGGGGATGCGACGGGCAGGCCTCTCTGGGGCTGCCTTAGAATTCTTTGTTGGCCGAGGCGGGTGGATCACGAGGTCAGATCGAGACCATCCTAGCTAACACGGTGAAACCCCGTCTCTACTAAAAATACAAAAAATTAGCCGGGCGCAGTGGCGGGCGCCTATAATCCCAGCTACTCGGGAGGCTGAGGCAGGAGAATGGCCTGAACCTGGGAGGTGGAGCTTGCAGTGAGCCGAGATTGCACCACTGCACTCCAGCCTGGGCGACAGAGTGAGACTCCGTCAAAAAAAAAAAAAAAAATTCTTTGTGTTACACCTGGGTGCGGCGGGTGCCCGGCTTATCCACTCACTTGCTAGAGGCACAGGAAGAGGTTCTTCTGGTTATAAGGATGATGTATTGCGCACCTGCTGTGTGCCTGGCATAGTTCTAGACCCTTAACATGAATCTCAACTTCCTTAATCCCCCCGTGAGCTGGGGGGTGGGAACTGTTCTCTCCCACGTACTCCAGAGGAGGGCTCGGCCCCAGCTAGTGCACAAAGCCAGGGTCCACACAGCGCCTCTGTGTCGGGGGAGCACGCTGTCTCCACATCTGACGGTGCATCACCAGCTCTGCCCACTCTGGCCTCCTCCCCACCCCCAGATCTGAGTTCCCCATTATGGCCATGAGACAGGTGCAGGCGCTAACGACACGGGTTGCCCAATGCCCAGGGCCCCTGAGGGCCCCAGCTGACCGGGGCCAGACCCCAGGCACTTCCTACGTGCCATTGCTTTGCCAGCTGACCTCCTGCTGTGCTCACGTGGCCTCTGGAGGTGGCATGGTTCCCGCTTTCAGAAAGAGACTGATTCGTGGTGGGATTCTGAGGCCCCCTTGGGGGGCTCCGTGCCTGGCCGGGCTGCGGGCAGGGGCCGGCCTGGATGCTTCTAGACCAGGGAGCCCTCGCCCTGTAGCCGTCCAGCATCTGGGGAAGAATTCTCGAATCCCGGCTTCTGAGTCTCTGGGTTCTCAGACTTTTGGGTTGTAGCGTGGACTCCGCTTGGCCGAGTCACTGCACCCTGGTCCTAGGCACGAAGCGGGGAGTTGCGGGTCACAGCTGTCCTGCGTTAGATAATGTGCGGACTGGGGAAACAGAGGCCAGCACGGGCTTCCTGGAGGCCACAGTGTGATGGTGGCTAGAATCACCCACCAGTCAGGGGTTCCCCGGGCTGCTTTGACGGTGCGGCCACGCGGGGAGGAAGTGGCCCGGGGTCCTGGCATCTCGTTGAGTCTCTGCCTGTCTGCCCGCCAGGTACGCGTTCACCGTGGTGGCCAACATCACCGTCTACGGCGCCGCCTGGCTCCTGCTGCACCTGCAGGGCTCGTCACGGGTGGAGCCCACCCAGGACATCGACATCGGCGACCAGCTGGGGGGCCAGGACGTGCCTATGTTCCGGGTGAGCTGGAGCCCGGGTGGGTCGCCTGGAGTCCTCAAGCCAGGGATAGGGGCTGGGCCAGCCGCCACTGACCGCTTCCGCCGGGTCCCCAGAACCTGTCCCTGCTGGTGGTGGGTGTCGGCGCCGTGTTCTCACTGCTGTTCCACCTGGGCACCCGGGAGAGGCGCCGGCCGCACGTGGAGGAGCCGGGCGAGCACACCCCCCTGTTGGCCCCCGCCGTCGCCCAGCCCCTGCTGCTCTGGAAGCACTGGCTCCGGGAGCCAGCTTTCTACCAGGTGCGTGCTGGGGGCGGCGGGGCTGGCGTGGACCTCCTCTCCCACCCACTGGGCCTTTGCTCTGCGCGGCAGCTGCATCCAGACACAGAGCACACGCGGCCGCTGGTGCAGCCCACACCCGGGGCAGACATCACTCATCAAGCGCCGCTCTCCTCTCCCTGGCCCACCCCATTGGGCAGTCACGACCAATGGATCAAATGCCAGCTGCAGGGTGCGCCCACCCCGGCCCCGGTGCCCCCTGCTGGTGGGAGTGGAGAAGGCCCTCCTGATCCCTGGCAGTCCCTCTGTCTGCCCACAGGTGGGCGTGCTGTACATGACCACCAGGCTCATCGTGAACCTGTCCCAGACCTACATGGCCATGTACCTCACCTACTCCCTCCACCTGCCCAAGGTGAGCGGGTTGGGGTGGGGACGCTGGGATGGGACGGCCCCAGCCTGGCGAGCCATGACTGACACGCCGTGCCTGGCTCTGCTCCCGCAGAAGTTCATCGCGACCATTCCCCTGGTGATGTACCTCAGCGGCTTCTTCTCCTCCTTCCTCATGAAGCCCATCAACAAGAGAATTGGGCGGAACGTGAGTGCACGGGGACCGGGGTGGAGGACGGGGTGCCCTGCAGCCGAGGTCCCACCCACTGCGGGTTCCAGCCTTGGATGCTTCCAGGCCTCTGAGTTCCCGCCTTGTAGCAGCCCTGGATCTAGGCCGGGTGCGGTGGCTCACACCTGTGATCCCAGCACTTTGGGAGGACAAGACGGGCGGATCACGAGGTCAGGAGATCCTGGCCAACATGGTGAAACTCCGTCTCTACCAAAAATACAAAAACAAAACTAGCCGGGCGAGGTGGCGGGTGCCTGTAGTCCCAGCTACTCGGGAGGCTGAGGCGGGAGAATGGCGTGAACCCGGGAGGCGGAGCTTGCAGTAAGCCGAGATCGTGCCACTGCACTCCAGCCTGGGCGACAGAGCGAGACTCCGTCTCAAAAAAAAAAAAAGGCCCCGGATCTGGGAACAAGGAATTCTGGGACCCTGGCTTCTGCGTGTCTCAAGTTCATACTCTTGCGGCTGCAGAGCTCTGGTGCTTTCTGTCCACCCTGTGCAGCTACTGAAGGCGTGAAATGTGGCCGCTGGGACTGAGCCGAGTCTGTCATTTGCTTTCATTGTAACTGACCTGCCTTTAGGCAGAGTAGCCACGTGTCTGCAGCCGCTGCGGCGTGGACAGAAAGCACAGCTCCGGCATGGAGGGTCTGCTGAGCCTTGGACTTGTCCAGGGCCAGAGCCTGGGCTCCTGAGGGACCATCTAGCTTATGCCTCTTGTTTGCTGGGGTTGGAGGTAGGGGTGGCAGATTGAAGACCAGAGAGGGCCAGCACCAGGCTTGGGGGCACCCAGTGGTATGGGCCTGACCCTGGGGCTGTCCCTACAGATGACCTACTTCTCGGGCCTCCTGGTGATCCTGGCCTTTGCCGCCTGGGTGGCGCTGGCGGAGGGGCTGGGCGTGGCCGTATACGCAGCAGCTGTGCTACTGGGTGCTGGCTGTGCCACCATCCTCGTCACCTCGCTGGCCATGACGGCTGACCTCATCGGTCCCCACACGGTAGGGCTGGTAGCCAGGCTGGGGCTGGGGAGGCCGGGGCCTAGATCTCAGGATGCACGCTGACCACCTTGCCTGTGTCTCCACAGAACAGCGGAGCGTTCGTGTACGGCTCCATGAGCTTCTCGGATAAGGTGGCCAATGGGCTGGCAGTCATGGCCATCCAGAGCCTGCACCCTTGCCCGTGAGTGCCGCTGTTTGTTCATTCATTCTTCCCTTCCTTCATCCATTCTTTTGTTCATTAAGAGGGTATTGAGCGCCTGCTGTGTGCCCAGCAGTGTTCTGGGTCTGGGCATCCAGCTGTGGACCAAAGACACCCACCCCAATGGGAGTCATAGACTGGGGTGACCTCTCGTTTCTTCCACTGAGCACTTCATTTATTCATTCAACAAACACTGGGTCTGTGTGTGCAGTGCTGAAAACACTGTACAGAAATATATCGGGGGTGGACCCAGCTGGAAGGGAGCCAGACCCTTGTGTAAACCAGACCCATAGAACTCAGGGTTCAGACACAGATGGTTCTAGACCACGGCATCACAGCATTCATGCTTGTAGAGGCCCAGGGCCTGGAAACCAAAGCATTCACTGGGGCAGTGCCAGCCATGTGAATAGTCACAGAGGTGAACGTGTGGTCGGGACCGGTGTGGGTGGTGTGTAAAGGTGAATACTCAGAGAAGCCTGGCCAGCCAGGGCAGGAAGCCAGGGAGGGCTTCTTGGAGGAGGTGACATGGACCTGACACCTGCAGGATGTCAGAGCGTTCCAGGCCAAAGCCCTGGGTGGGCCCACAGCTGGCATGTTGGAGGGAACAGGGAGGAGGCCCCTGTGGCTGGAGGAGGGGACGGGGCAGGTCGTGCAGGGCCTGGTGGGCCATGGGGAGGACTTGGACTTTGACCCCGAGGACAGTGGGAGCCATGGAGATCTGTGGGCAGAGGAGGGACAGGCCCTGACCCAGGCGCTCAAAGACGCCCTCTGGTGGCCGCTGCCGGGAGGACAGCTGGTGGGTGCAGGTGGGCCGTGCTGAAGCTGGACGTGGGGAGACAGGGACGGGGAGACGTGGTGGATTAGGGATGGACGCTGGAGGCAGGGCTGACAGGACTGGCCGAACTGTTGGGTGTGGGACAGGAGGGAGGGAGTTGCAGGGACCCCAGCTCCTGGCTTGGACAGGATGGAGCCGCCCTCGGGTGGGAGGGGAGGAACAGGTTCAGCTTGGGTGGGGGGTCCCCATGGTGCCTACTCAGCCCCCGCCTCCTCCCACAGCTCGGAGCTCTGCTGCAGGGCCTGCGTGAGCTTCTACCACTGGGCGATGGTGGCCGTGACGGGTGGCGTGGGCGTGGCCGCTGCCCTGTGTCTCTGCAGCCTCCTCCTGTGGCCCATCCGCCTGCGACGCTGTGAGTCCCGGCGCACCCCTCCCTCCCTCCCCCGAGACTGACCACACTGGGGTGGCTGTGAGTCCCGGCGCACCCCTCCCTCCCTCCCCCGAGACTGACCACACTGGGGTGGCTGTGAGTCCCGGCGCACCCCTCCCTCCCCCGAGACTGACCACACCGGGGTGGCTGTGAGTCCCGGCGCACCCCTCCCTCCCCCGAGACTGACCACACCGGGGTGGCGGTGGGGGTGGGCCGCACCCCACCCTCCCTAATGCCATTACCACCCCTCCCTTGCAGGGCACCCTGACACCCGGCCCTGATTCCTGATGGTCTCCTGCACCTGTGCAAGGGAACCGTGGGGATGCATGAGGGTGCCCCCCGGGGCCTCGAGGAGAAGCCCCCACTGCCCCTCGCTCTCCTCTGGACCCCCACCCTCCATCCTCGCCCCACTCCTGGGGATGGGGTCGGGTGAGGGCAGCAGGGAGGCCCGCCAGGGCCTTGTGAATCCAGGGGCTTGCAGGGACGCCTGGGCTTTGAGGGTGCCCCATTCTCAACTCCAGCCCAGCCCTCTGGAGGATTTGGGGTGCCCCTCTTGACAGGGAGCAGGACATAGGAATCCCAGAAGGATCTGGGGGAACCCTCACCCTGAGTTCAGTCCATTTCACCCCTCACCTCTGGCCTGGGGGTCTCCAGATGCTGCCAGGGCCCCCTCAGGACGGCTGGAACCTAGAGGAGACCCCATCACGGGGTGGTGGGCAGCAGGACTGCCCAGTAGGCTTGGTGGACTCTGCTGGCAGCGAATAAAGAGATGATGGTGGCCTGGCTCCTGTCTGCCTGGGGGTCCCTGGGCAGGGGTAGCCTGGGCATCTCAGCCCTGCCCTAGTTGTGGGCGGCCAGCGAGCCCAGCGTCTGCCTCTGTCCCGAGCCTCTGGTCCCCTGGGACGAGGTTAGTGCCCCTTCCTCTGGGTGCAGAAAGACAGTGGGTGCATGGTGACAGCATGCGTTTATCGGGGCATGGGCGTGGAGGAAGGCGGGGGCCGCTGGCAGGTGGAGGGGCAGTACGGCTCCAGACCCCACTCCCGGTAGTTCTGGGTGGTGCCAGGCGGGTGCTGGGGCGCTGACAGGGAGGGCACGTAGTCTGATGCCCTCCACAGTGGCTCCACCCCGTACCGGTTCCTGTTGATGACTGTAGATGGTACCCGGGTCACTCTCTGCCCCCACCTCCTCGCCATTGGCCAGCAAGGGGCTCCCAGACCTCCCTGGCGGTTTCACCCTGGCCTAGGTGGCCTCGTCCCCCAGGCTTCCCGGGGACCCGCCCCGCACTTGGCCTCACCATATTCCTTGCCCCGGATTGGCCTGTCTTTCCACAGCGTGCTCCCCCACCGGGTGCTGGGGACCTGGTACTGGGCAGGGATGATGGGGTCGTGCCAGGCGGTCTCCCGAAGGTGCTGGGTGTAGGCTGCGGTGGGGTGGGGGCTGGCGGTCATTCCTGTCCCCCTCCAGCAGGCCGGGTGCCCAGGGCGGGGAGGGCAGGCACTCACCCGATGGCATGCTGTGCTCCCGGCGTTGGTAGCAGCCGTGCCAGCGGTTGTAGGCCTCGCGGAAGGGGCTGGCCAGGTCCAACGGCAGGTTGTACCACGCTTTCCGGGTGTCCGAGTTGGTCAGGCCTGCGTACCACAGCTGGCCGGCTGCGTCGTGTCCCATGGGTGTGTACTTCCAGCGTGTGGCCTGCCTGATGGCCAGTGGCCAGCGGGGACCCTCCAGGGACAGGTAGTCATCGCTGAGTGGGCAGGGGGCAGACTGAGCTCGTCTCTACAGCGAGTGCTCTGACCCCTCTGCGATGTCTGCCAGGGTGGAGGATGTAGAGGCCTGGCCCACGGCGTGGGGCCTTCCTCCCTCGCCACTTGGTGTCTGTCCTTCAGTCCTGGATCCCCCACCCCAGAGTGGGTGGCAGAGGAGAGAGGCTGACTCCCCCTCTCCCCACACGTCCCACCCCAAGCACCCAAGTCAGCATTAAACCTTTCTGTTCTGAGCTTTTCTTGCCTGAAGAGGGAGGGGAAGAGGACGAGGGCCCTGGCTACTCCTGGGTTCCTATAGTCCTTGTCCAGCCTGCAAGACGTGCAAGTCCCTTCCTTTGGGAAGCCTCCCCTGGCCTAGAGGTGCACCAGGAAGAAGTGGTCTGGGGCTGGCACTGAGTCATGGCCCAGGGAGGACTGGGGGACGCACTAGGCCAGGTGTGTGGCTCACACCTGTAAACCCAGCACTTTGGGAGGCTGAGGCAGGTGGATCACTTGAGGTCAAGAGTTTAAGACCTGCCTGGCCAGCATGGCGAAACCCCATCTCTACTAAAAATATGAAAATTAGCCAGGCATGGTTGGGGGGGGCCTGTAATCCCAGCTACTCGGGAGGCTGAGGCAGGAGAATCACTTGAATCTGGGAAGTGAAGGTTCCAGTGAGCCGAGATCGTGCCACTGCACTCCAGCCCGGCAACAGAGCGAGACTGTCTCAAACACAAAAAGAGAAAAGACTCAAAGATGTTTTATGCTTTGGCCTTGCTCTTGGGAATATGTCCCAAGGAAGTCACCCCAGAGAACAAGGTTCTTGGCCCCAAGATAGTCTGGCAGGGCTCAAAACAATCTCACCTGTGCCCTGCACGGGAAGCCCGGTTCCAGGTCTCATGGCAGGAACTCGGCGTAAATCCTGACTAGACTCCCAGGTGTCCAAAGAACATGGGAGTAGCCTGGCCAGTTACGGAGCCTGTTTGAGGGACACCACGTAGACTCGGCTTCTCCACTAGAAAGGCAATTTCAAGATCTGGGGAACCTCGCCCCGTTTGACATGAATTGCAAAACACGTGTAGCTTTTAAAACGCAATGAAAACAGCACAAAATTGGCCGGGCGCAGTGGCTCACGCCTGTAATCCCGGCACTTTGGGAGGCCGAGGCAGGTGGATCACGAGGTCAGGAGTTCGAGGCCAGCCTGGCCAACATGGTGAAACCCCGTCTCTACTAAAAATACAAAAATTAGCCAGGTGTGGTGATGGACACCTGTGGTTCCAGCTACTTGGGAAGCTGAGGCAGGAGAATCACTTGAACCTGGGAGGCGGAGGTTGCAGTGAGCCGAGATCACACCACTGCACTCCAGCCTAAGAGAGAGACTGTCTCAAAACAAACAGACAAAAAGTAATTAAAAGAGCACAGAATAATATTTGATGAGAAATGAGCCCCCTCACCACTGCTGTCGGCCCCGTACCCACCTGCCACTCACTACTTTCTGGTGTTTCCTTCCAGGACCAGGTGGTACGTACACCCACCTCCATTATTACCCACTTCCGGGAGCCTGTCCACCGCATCTCCATTTTTTTTTTTTTTTTTTTAAAATAGAAATAGGGTCTTGCACCCGGCGCAGTGGCTCACGCCTGTAATCTCAGCACAGTGGGAGGCTGAGGCAGGTGGATCACGAGGTCAGGAGTTTGAGACCAGCCTGGCCAACATGGTGAAACCTCCGTCTCTACTAAAAATACAAAAATTAGCCGGGCGTGGTGGCAGGTGCCTGTAATCCCAGCTACTCGGGAGGCTGAGGCAGGAGAATCGCTTGAACCCAGGAGGCAGAGGTTGCAGTGAGCTGAGATCATGCCACTGCACTCCAGCCTGGGCAACTGAGACCCTTTTTTTTTTTTTCTTTTGAGACAGAGTCTTGCTCTGTCGCCTAGGCTGGAGTGCAGTGGCACGATTTTGGCTCACTGCAGCCTTGACCTCCTGGGCGCAAGCGATCCTCCCACCTCAGCCTCCCAAGTAGCTAGCATTACAGACACGTGCCACCATGCCTGGTTGATTTTTTTTTTTTTTCCAGGCAGGTCTTGCTGCTGTGTCACCCAGGCAGGAGTGCAGTGAGATGGGTCGGCTCACTGGCCTCCGCCTCCTGAGTTGACGTTCTCCGCTCAGCCTCCTGAGTAGCTTTTTTTTTTTTTTCCAGACGGAATCTTGCTCTGTCACCCAGGCTGGAGTGCAGTGGTGCGATCTTGGCTCACTACAACCTCCGCCTCCTGGGTTCGAGCGATTCTCTTGCCTCAGCCTCCTGAGTAGCTGGGATTGCAGGCACCTGCCACCACACCCAGATTTTTTTTGTACTTTTAGTAGAGACAGGGTTTCCCCATCTTGGCCAGGCTGATCTTAAACTCCTGACGTCGTGATCCACCAACCTCGGCCTCCCAAAGTGCAAGGATTACAGCTGTGAGCCAGTGCGCCCAGCCTTTTTTTTTTTGAGACAGAGTTTCGCTCTTGTTATCCAGGCTGGAGTGCAATGGCGCCATCTCGGCTCACTGGAACCTCCTCCTCCCAGGTTCAAGCGATTCTCCTGCTTCAGCCTCCTGAGTAGCTGGGATTACAGGCATAAGCCACCATGCCCGGCTAATTTTGTATTTTTAGTAGAGACGGGGTTTCACCATGTTGGTCAGGCTGGTCTTGAACTCCTGACCTCAGGTGATCCGCCTGCCTCGGTCTCTGAAAGTACTGGAATTACAGGCGTGAGTCACTACACCTGGTACCCTGGCTGATTTTTAATTTTTTTTTATAGAGATGGGGTCTCACAGCTGGGCACAGTGACTCACGCCTGTAATCCCAGCACTTTGGGAGGCCGAGGTGGGCAGATCATGAGGTCAGAAGATCGAGACCATCCTGGCCAGCATGGCGAAACCCCATCTTTACTAAAACAAAAATTAGCTGGGCATGGTGGCACATGCCTATAATCCCAGCTACTTGGGAGGCTGAGGCAGGAGAAAGGCTTGAACCAGGGAGTCAGAGGTTGCAGTGAGCCAAGAGTGCACCACTGGACTCCAGCCTGGCAACAAGAGCGAGACTCTGTACAAAAAAAAAAAAAATACAAAACTTAGCTGGGCATGGTGGCACACACCTGTAGTCCCAGCTACTCAGGAGGCTTGAGACAGGAGAATCCTTGAACTTCGGAGACGGAGGTTGCAGTGAGCCAAGATTGTGCCACTGCACCTTAGCCTGGGCAACAGTGAGACTCTGTCTCAGAAAAACAAACAAACAAAAAACTGGGTCTCACTCACTATGTTGCTCAGACTGGTCTTGAACTCCTGGGCTCAAGTGATCCTCCTGTCTCAGCCTCCCAAAGTGCTGGGATTACAGTGGGCCACCATGCCCAACCACCATCTTGGTTTAATTTCTTTGCTTGGAAATAGAGCAAAGGGCTTTCACTCTTCTTTTTCATGGCTGCATAGTATTCCGTAATTGTTTAAACAATTGCTAATAGACACTGTATTGGGGTGACTTGCATACCTCCAAAATTGCATCTGCTCAGAGCCTCAGCACATGGCCTTGTTTGGAAATGGTTTTAGCAGGTGCAGCTAAGATGAGGTCACCCCGTGTTAGGATGGCCCCGAATCCAGTGCCTGACGCCCTTATAAGGAGAAGGAAACTTGGATGCAGACAGGAAGGCCGGGTGAAGACAGAAGCAGAGACTGGGGGCCAAGGAGTGCCTGGGGTTGCCCAGAGCCACCACGGGCTGAGAGGTGTGGGACAGACTCCCTCGGCCACAGAAGGGCCCAGGCCCGCACACGCCTGGATTTCAGAGGGTGGATATTTCTGTGGCCGAAGCTCCCAGTGCGTTTGCAGCCCTTGGAAATGGCCACAGACACATTTGTTCTCGGCCTGTCTCCAGGTCTGTGGTCCCCACAGTGAGCGGCCGCAGGCTGGAGGGGAACAGGAAGAGCTGGAGGGGACTTCACACACGTGAGCCTTTTAGGAATAATGAGTGACACATGCAAGACCCCAAACCAAACCCCATGTAACCTGACACCCAGGGAGGGAGGGGCTCACCTGTAGAGAGGTGCTGGGAAGCTGGCCTCGAGGGTCCCCGAGGGGACATAGGGCCGGGCAGCCTCTTGCCTCAGGGTTTGCATGTCTGCCTGGGTCCCTGGGGCTCCTGCCAGGAAGGCCTCCGAGGCCACTGTTGACAGCATAAAGGCCACCCAGTGTTCCGGCAACAGCGCTGATGGCTCCCTCCTCCCAGCAGCGGGCGGGGTGAGGTGGCCTCAAGGGAGGGGAGGGCTGGAGAGTCGTTCTGAGTATTTAACAACAGGGGGTGACAGTGTGGGTGGGCAGGGCCAGCGCCACTGCCAGGTGGGGTCCGTGGCTGTGAGCCCCCAGCTCTACGCATGCCCCACCTGGGGCCTGGCCTCTCCATCTCCACACCCCCTTGAGGGGCTTCTGTCTCCCCCTTGCACCTTCGATCGCAGGAGGCGGTGCCAAGTCAGGGGCGCAGGCACCTGGCACCCCAGCTCCTCTCCTCACCCGCTCACACCCAGTCCATTTGTAAAACACACCCAGGATGAGACCCCCACACGGGGCCTCACAGCAGCACAATTGGTGACAACCCGAGGAGGAGAACACAGAACACCCAGTGAGGGGGAGGGGGCCAGCCATGTGCTGGAATGAGATTCAGCCACCAGGAGGTGCGAAGCTCTGACCCAGGCCACAGTGTGGATGCACCTTGAGGATGTCACGCTCCTCTGAGCCAGACACAGAAGGGCGTGCTGTGATCCCACTTCTATGAAATGTCCAGGACAGGCTGATCCACAGAGGCAGGGAGAGGGTTCGTGGGTGCTGGAATTGGGGAGGTGGACCTGGGGGTGACTAGGTGATGTAAAGGGGACAGGACTGCCTTCTGGGTGATGAGAATGTTCTGGAATCGGAGGTGGTGGCTGCACGGCATGGTGAAGGTACTGAACGCCACCTCACTGTAAGATGGTAGATTTTGTATTTTACCACAATAAAAAAAAAAAACAACATAAAACCCAACAAACATCCAGAAACCTCCTGCCTTGCCTCCTCTGGCTGGACCTGGCCTCGGGTAGAATCCGGCTTGGGTGGGGGCAGAGCTTACACCCTGGTCTCGGCTTCCCCTGCCCCTGCGTCGGGTCCCCACAGAGCCAACCCTGCCTTTCCCATCTGGACAGGCACCCAGGGGCCCCACTCCCTCGGGGTAAGTGCCAAAGTCCTCCCTGAGGCCCACAAGGCCCTGCCCTCCTCTCTTCACTCTGTTCCTCCTGCATGCCAGGTGCCGTCCTATCCCAGGGCCTTTGCATGGCTGTGCCCTCTGCCTCTCACCCAGGTGTCCCTGCCTCCTCTAGCCCTGGCTGAAATGCCAGGCTTGTGGTGAGCCCCTGATCCAAGGCCGCCCTTTCCCAGGGCCCCTTCCGCACCCTTGTGACGCCACCGCCTCACTTCCTCATAAGCTCCTGTCTCTGGGCTGTGCCCCCCAGGCCAGCTCTACATGGGCCAGGTCAGCTCAGTTTCATCATCTCCAATGCCCAGGACGGGACCTGCCCTGGCTCCTTCACCGTCTTCTCAGGCACCGTACAAAAGCGAGCCTCAAAACTACCTGGGGCCTCCTGGCTGCCAGGCACCCCCCACAGTCTCCCCTGCAGCCCCTGGCCCCCAGGCCTCCTGGCTCCCCCAACCACTTCCCAGCCATTCCTCCTGTTCTCCCAGACCCCGGGGAGGCACCAGCATCCCCTGGGCCAGGCTCCTGCCTCCTGCACCTCTCATTGCAGAACCTGCGGCAGCCTGAGCTTTTCAATTCTCTTTCCCTCTCACTGCACCACCTACGTTCCAGGATCAACAGAAAAGTCGCAAACCGCCCTGCAGGGCCCTTTGTCAGCCTCCAGCTCCATCCGGGCATCTCCCAGCCATGGCCAGGGTCACCCCAGGAAGTGATGGCCCCACTGGCCTTGGTCTGTCGGGTGGAGTTGACAGCAGAGGCACCTGCCCCAGCGCTGGTGAGCGGCCCCGGTGCCCCGCAAGGCCTGACGGACGCTCCCCTGGGGCCCCTCCACCTCTTCTCGGCTGTCCTGGGCCGTGGGGAACCAAAGCCCCCATTTCTACACAAGCCCTGGCCCGTCATCATGGGCCCCTCCCACCACGGCCTTCACCCCACTTGCTCTGTCCCTCCTGGTCCCATCTGGCCAGCCCTAGGGGTGAGCTCAGCCCTGCAGCGCCCACCCTCCCTCCCTGATGGGGTCAGGTGAGCACCTCCTCCCGGGAACAGGGCAGTCTGGCTGGAGCGCAGGGACTCGCCTGGAGTCCAGTCCTTGGCCCCGCAAGACTGTGGCCGGCGATCCGGCAGACCGGCCCGGGAGGGGTCTCTGTGGCCTTCGAGGGCTGAGTTCCCCATCTGTGAAATGCAGGGCTGGGAAGCCCCTCAGAAGTTGCTTCTGCAGCTCCAGGGCCAGATGGGGACTCTAGGGCAGGACCGTGTGACCCCACCCGAGCCGGGGACCTAGAGCCAGCCAGCCCCGGCCACACATGAATCCACGCGTTTAATGACAGCATCACTGCATTACATGAGAAAGGAGGCTGATCTGTCCTGGGAGGTCCCCCGCCGCCCTCGCATGGAAGAACCAGCCCCAACACAAATCTCGCACCTTCCCTCTGGCCCCGCGGAGGTTCCGGTCCCAGGAGGAGCCTCGGAGGCCCCCATGGGCTGTGCCCTGAGCTGGCCACGCCCCGAGGCCCACAGCGACAAGGCGGCTCTTTGGCACTGCAGGGGCCGCTGTGGGCAGGGCGGGCATGGGCGAAGGCAGGGTTGGTTTTCCTATTTAAAAACCCCGAAACAGTAAGACCTTGACCACGGAAAATCCACATTGCCACGTGCACCGGCTCCCCACGCGCAGGCGGGCGGCGAGGAGTCCACACCCGCCCGGACAGAGGTGGGGAGAGTCTCTCCTGCGAATGCGGAAGATCCACCCGCTTGAAACGACGGGGCTTTAAAAGCAGGACCCCGTCTCCCAGGAGCAGTGGGTGGGTCCCGGCCCCTCCCCGTCTAGCCTCAAACATTTCCAGGACTGCTCAACAAAAACACAAAACAAATCCAAAGAAAAGTCACAAATACATATGTACACATGCACACCAACCCCACTGGGGACACCAGGCTACTGGGATGTGGGGAGTGAGGGTTCCCAAGCACAGCAGGGTGGCGGGCGGGACCCTCGGACTCCAGCCCGCCCCACCCTCTCCACATCTCCACCAGTGAAATGGGAAGGGGCGGGGGGGCAGGCAGTGCTCAGCTCAGGCCCCACTCCCCAGCTTTGCCTCCCTCCCCGCCTGCTGTGTGGCTTGGGAGCATGAGACAGAGGAACAGAGGAGCCCGGGAAGCTTCTGGAAGGATGGAGGGCGCCCACCTCCTGGACCCCTTGGGTCTCCTTGGCTTCCCCACGGCCGCTGGCGCTGGTGGACAGGACAGGCGAAGACACGGGCAACCTGGGAGCGGGGGCCACACCGCCGCTGGCCTCCACAGGACCCAACCACCCAGCAGGCACGGGGGACGCAAGTCTTGCGCGGGGAGGGGGGACGCTGGCCCGGTAAGGGCACGTGTTGAAGAATGCACAAAGACGTGGCATCTGTTGTGCTCCTCTCCAGCCAGGGCAGTGAGCAGGCCCGTGTTCAGTTCTCCTGGGGTGACGAGTCCAGAGCAGACATCCTCCTCCGGTGTGAAGGTGACGCTCGGCCAGGATGCACAGGCTTATCTGAAGCCCACTGACTGCCAGGTGACGGCCATGACACAGATGCTTCCAGAGAGACTGCTACTTCGAGCGGTGATGGTAGAGGTGGCTGCAAGGACGCCGTGAAGCCCAGGCGGGGACCGTCTCCTGGATCCACAAGCCGGTTCCGCCAGTGGCCCTGAGCCATCTGCCCAGGCCTACACGTCTTGGTCTGGCCTTGGGTCTGGTCTTGGATTTGACATAGTAGGACTGCAGCTGTCAACGGGCGACCAGGGGTCTGAGGCCCCCACCAATCAGCCCTGGTGTCTGGTGGTCTGTTCCGTGCAGACGTGGGCAGTTCCAGGAAGAGCAAGCGGCGCCGATGGGCAGGTGATGAACAGATGGAGGCAGTGAGGGTCCCAGGGGGCGTCCATTGCTCTGAGTACAGACGGTCTGAGCCACGACCATCCAATGTGGTTCTTGCCCTTTAGGAAGGGAGACAGAGCCCCTGATGCTGAGGGTCCCCGACCACGTGCCCACCCCAGATACTGGTGGACATGGTTCACAATCAGGCATTTAATGAGACTCCAGGATCCTCCAGGCCCAGCTCCCCGCCCGCCCGGCCGCCTTCCTCGGGGGACAAGCGCTGGGAAGGCAGGGTCCATGCAAGCTGAGGAGCTGGGGTCCTCCGACGATGGCTGGTGTGGCGCGGTCCTGCCCGGCAGGTTTACCGGATCCTGGTGAAGAGGTTGAGCACAGACACAGACTCCTGCAGACACACGGGGATGGGAGACGTGCTGAGCCGCAACCCCAGGGAGGAAGCTGCCTGGAGGGAACCTGAGGCTGTGGGGCTTGGTCCTGAGGGGCTGGGAGGTGCCGGTCCAGCCTCAGCCTGCCACATTGCCCCTGACACATGACCCGGAATTTGAGGTAAGGGAAGCTCGGAGGTGGGGGGACCCAGGGGAGGGTACGCCAGAGGACACAGTGGAGACAGGGATGACCTTGGGACAGGCTGGGGTGGGGGTGAGTGGCGCTGATACCGACCCACTTTACCTTTGTCGAACGGGTTTTGCTAAAGACGTTCCAGAACCTCAGGGTCTCGTCTCCAGCACCAGTGACGATGGCCTCCCCATCAGGGGACATTGCCTGGGGACAGGAGGGAAGCACCCCATGACACTGGGCCTCTAGGTGCCTCAGGACAGTGCTGGGGGACCGAAGGAAAGGGGAGCAAGGTGTGGGGTGGCTGGGACCCCCAACCCAGGTTGCATGGGCAGAGCCCAGACTCTGGGAACAGGAGGGAGGGGCAGGCCGGGGCCACCACAGGCAGAAACCAAGGTTGGAGTCTTTGTTTTTTTTTAATTTTAAGACAGGATCTGGCTCTGTCACCCAGGCTGGAGTGTGCAGTGGGGCAATCCTGGCTCACTGCAGCCTTGATCTCCTGGGCTCAGGTGATCCTCCCATCTCAGCCTCCTGAGTAGCTGGGACTACAGGTGCACACCACCACACCTGGCTCATTTAAAAAAAGGTTTTGTAGAGACAGGGTCTTGCTACGTTGCCCAGGCTGGTCTTGAACTCCTGGGCTCAAGCGATCCTCCCACCCTGGCTTCCTGAAGTGGAGGGATTACAGGTGAGCCATCGCACCTGGCCAAGGTTGGAGCATTTTTGCAAAAAACACAAAGGACACCCCCCCTTGCAAGGTGGGGCCATCCACTCTGAGTAGATGAGGGACTGTCAGATGCACGGATGAAAGCACAAAACATGTTTTTCAGGGAAGAAACAAAACCTTGGCCAGTGAGGGCACGTGGGGTCAAGGACGCCTCCTGACCCCCTTCCAGCGACGTGTACACAGTTACTGTGAGGATGGCCACGGGGTCATCTGAGTGGTCAGGTGTGAGGTATTTTTGGCCTTCCTATTCACCCCTCTTTTTGGGGAAAATAAATGAAGAGACTGAGGTCCTTCAGGAGGACAGGGCCCACACCTGCAGGGCTGGGGAGTTCGGTAAAGCCCATTCCAACGTTGGCAATACAACCAGCACCAGATACCCCAACAGCCAGCCCTGGTGCTGGGTCCCGCGGGGTTTTACATCTGCACACCATCCTCCCTAAGAACACAGGACAGGTGCTCTGGGGTGGCCACGGCAGTTTGTCCAGAATCCCGGGGCACCTTGAAGTGCCTGGCGTGCACTCACCAGGTATAGCACGCGGTAGGAGTGCCCGGTCAGCTTGGCCACCTGGGTCAGGGAGGGGTACTTCCAGACAAGGATCTGGTTCTGTGAGTAGCCGTGTGTGCTCACCTGGAGGGTGGAGGGGCACCGCAGTCGGTGGGGGGAACGAGGCCGGGCGCTATGCCTGCTGCCTCACATGTACCCGCCCGAGCCCATGGGAGAGCTCAGAGCCGCCAGCCAGCCCGGGAGGAGCAGGGGATGCGGGGATGTGGCTCTGCCTCCTGAGTCCGTCCGGGAGGTGTGAAGGCCACAGGTGTACCCCTCCACCCACCGCCAAAGGCTGGAGCCCAACAAGGACCCACACAGGGCCCACAGCCCCCCTGCCCCGCCTGCAAGTCATCCCTGAGACTCTCCTGGTGACACATGCCCACAGTGGCTGAAGCAGGCCAGGGTGCTCCGCAGAACCCACTTGGTCCTGGGCCTCCTCTCTCAGCAGAAGCAGCTGTGGGAGCTCCCCGGCTCCTCACAGAGCCGCCAGGTGTGGCTGCGACGAGGGCCCAGAGGCTCCAAGTCTTACCCCAGGTGAGGCTCTGATGGCCCCAGGGGCCTTGCCCCCCGGCCCCGACAACTCCCTGCCTCCCTGCCCAGCCTCCCTCGTCCATCTCCCTTCAGAGCCTCTGACCCATCTCCCCACAGGCCGCTCTCAGATGGCAGGCAAGGGGCCAGCAGGACACACATCCTGAGGCCTGGTGGGAGGCCGGGTCACCCGTGCTCACCAGCTCGTTGGCGTGCTTGGACCAGGCCAGATTGCACACTTGGGAGCCCGTGTCGATACACTGCAGCGGCTGTCCCGTCAGCGTGTTCCAGAAGCGGATGCAGCGGTCAGCTGTGCCGCCCCCTGAGGCCAGCAGCCCGTGCTGATGCGGGGACCAGGCGATGGCCTTCACGGCCGCCAGGTGCTCCGTGTACTGCTGCACGGGGCTCAGGCTCGAGTGATTCCAGACCAGCAGCTGGTGGACAGGGGCTGTGAGGCCGGGGCTGTCCCAGCCCTGTGGTCCCATAGGCCGGTCCTCACAGGGGTGATAACCTGCCCTGGCACCCCACCCCACACCCCTCCTGCTGATCCCTCAAGGACCCCTGGGGGCACACACTCGTCACCCTGTGCCACAGGGCAGGACTGGCTAGGTAGGAAGGACAAGCCCAGGGCCCTGCTGATGGCTGTAGAGTGGGCCCCGCGCCCGCCCCCAGCCCAGGCTTCACCGTTCCTGCCAGTGTGAGGGGTGCGGCTCCTGGGGAAGGGGAAGTCCAGGCTCTGGGCAGGGGTACCTTGTTGTCGTTGCCCCCTGAGGCAAGGAGCTGGTGGTCTGTGGACCACTTGAGCCCGCACACCTCCTGCCGGTGGCCCTGCAGCCGCCGCTCTGACTGCAGGGGTGGGGTGCGG